TCCCGCCCAGTGGAAATTAGAAATGACGGCGCCTATAGTTCACTCAATCTGTTTTCATTTTTTCTCTTAACTGCAAAATAATATTCGTAGTATTTACGGTTGTGTGCTTTGATTTGGAGATGTAGCTGAATAGGGCGTAAATGCCATGAGTTTGAATCATGGTTTGAAATTTTATCATCGTTGCACTGTTGACTTAAAAATAACCTATAGTTTTTCTTTATCTTATATTTTGGTTATCTTGTTTGCAGTATCAGTAATCTGTACATTGAATTTATTGTACTTTTCAATGTAAACTCCTTTTTTAACCAGTTTTTTTTACCGATAATGTGTAAAGCATTCCTAATATTCTTCTCCGCTATATTTCTTTAGGCTTTTTTCAAATATTTTTTTTTTATTAGTATTTAACTGAAGATTACAGGTATTTTACAAATCCAGAAATTTTTACTTTGCTGAAATAAGTGAGATTTTCTAAATTTTTATTCGTTCAATTATAAACAGCTAAAATATCAGTACTCTCAACAGTCCTACCACGTCGATTTCCATTTTGCTTTATTACTAGAGCAGAACTTGAATAGAAATGTTGATGCATTTTTAGTAATACCTCTCGAGAATTCTCAGTGATTTTTTATGCATGATCCAGATAGAACATCTCCGTTGAAGTTCTTTTGATGCTGCCATTCATTCGTACACTGCTTCTTCGTTATTCTAATGGCAACTGAAACGGTGACATTCCGAGACGCGATCAGCAATGTCGACGTATGTACAATAAACATTTCTTGGTGGCATTAAACCACATACATGGTTTTCTTCCAAAAAGCTTAATCCTGCATTATAGGTTTTGTCTTTCATTACACACAGTGTTTAAAATAATTTTCATTTTTTCTGCAGTTGTTTTTATTTTTATTTTTTGGAACTTGAGAGAGCGCGAGTAATTTTTTTTATATTACAGTTTGCTTTGTCTTGTCAACTGCTTGTTCACAGCATTTGAGTATAGTTTCATTATGGCAAGGAAAAGCTGTTTTAGCTTTTGGAAGACTTAGCTATTTGTGACAATCAGCCATGTATCGAATCTCAGCCCTTGCCGCTTCTCTGTCGCGTAAACTTTGACACCAGCTTCGAGGATAGGAATGCGTACATAACTGGCGTTTCCAAGTACATAGAGGAAGCAACACGACACGCCGAATTTGTGAGTAAATTTTGCATTTGTCTAAAGCTTTTTGTGGCGCTATTATTTTATGTTGGAAAAGGCACTTGATTTTTGTTGTTTTCGGTGTTATTGCTTTATCTTAAAAACAATAATTCAATATTTTAGTTCTATTTAATGTTATTTTAGCGGGGTCGAGTAAGACAGTAGACATTTTCAATTTTATTTTGCATCATAATTTGTGTTGTAGCGAACTATACTTTAATTTTTTGATATTCTGATAAATCCAATTATTACTATAGAGCAACATTCTTGGCGAAGGATTTCAACATGCTGCCCATCTGTATACTTGGCGATGCTGCTCGCGTGCAGTTCCAATGGTTTTTTTGTCTTCATTTTAATATTTTGATTTTTACAGTTGCACGCCGCCTGTGTTTACTCATTTTTTATTCATCTATTTCATTTGAAGGCAAAGTCAAACGACCAGCCAAACCGTGTTGAAATCAACGAGAAAGTCGTACAAGTTTTGAATCCTGAAGTCGATAAACTTTACCAGTTTATGCATTTTACTGTAATGCTTTAGTCCTTTGAGATGGTTAGAATACTAAGTCTTTGACTTTCCATGTTTTTATTTGGTGGTACCTTCACAACATATGACAGCTATTTGTTTTCAGAACCGTGCAATTCGCCGATTCTGTGATGAAGTTAAACGTTTATGCCATCCTGAAAAACGTAAAGATTTCGTTTCTGAAGCGTACCTGCTTACACTTGGAAAGACGCTGAACATGTTTGCCGTTCTCGACGAACTTAAAAATATGAAAGCTTCAATAAAGAACGACTTTTCAACTTTTCGTAGGTAAGCTTGTCTTTTCTGGGTTTTAACAGAACCAGTTAGGTGAGTTTTGGTTACTATCATAACTTTATTCCCGCTTAAATTAATCTGCTTTTTAAGATCAGCTCAGTTTCTTCAAGTAATGGCGGATACAAACACAATCCATGAAATGCAAAACCTTAGCATGTTCCTCGCTACTCAAAATAAAATAAAAACAGATCTTCAAAAAGAATTGCGTAAAGTAAGTATTAATGATCGAACAGCTTTTTACAATTTTTTCGCTAGACGATGGAATTATTGGAAAAATTAATTATTATTTTTTCACTTAATTCCCTTCAATTAGTCGCGATATCACGTTTTTTCAGATTGAAGGCTTTGAAGAACTTTTGGCAGATGTTGTTAATATATGCAGCCTCTTGTTCGAAAACCGTATGTATATTACTCCAGCTGATAGGCATATGTTTGTGAAGGTCAGTCATTACGTACTTGAAGGGAATTTTTTCAAAATAAACTTTAGCAGTAAAGATTTCCTGCTTTTTCTGGCAAGACATGCCTTTTGCAAAAAATTTAGTTGTATTTAAGGCCATTGCGTTTGCACTATTTTTGATGGGTGGTGAAGCTACTGCAAAGCTTGATCAGCGTAGGCGAATCAGTATTGCTAAACTGGACAAGATATTTCAAGTAAGTCGTTTGTCGGTCGGCGTAAATGGTGTTGTTAGATGCTCTTTTTATCAATCTTTCAGTTTACTGTTTTTCGTTGATTACTTTTTAACTGCGTTTATATATCGTGCAGTTTTAGTCTCTCGAGGTAGTGCCACTATTTGGTGACTTACAAATCCAACCTTTTTCATTTGTAACTCGATCTACTCAGTTTGAGGCCTCACGCTGGCCCAACGCTAGTGGAGAAGGTCTGGTTATGTATTTCTTGAAATTAATACTAATAGTTTATGTGATTAAATTTCTTGTTTTTGGGAATTATATTAGTTAGGCATAGATTCTATTTTTTATTTTTTTCGTATATACATTTATTTGCTTATTTTTTACCTACCATGGATATATGGTCTTGTTACTTGTCTCTTTTAATATGACGGTTAATTTAGGTGAGAAGTGTCATGTAAATATCACAGAAAGAGTTATTAAAATACGTGAGCATCATATGGAATATGTCACTCATCTTTCTCGACTTAGTAATGGGGTTTGTAATTGTTTTTTACTGATTACGTTTTAAAGTGGAAGTGTTTTTCTGATTCGAGTGATTCGAATCATTTGTTAGAACTGTGGATGATAATAGTTGAGAAAGAGCTTACTTTATCGGCAACTCAGGTGGCTATTTACGACAAAGATGGACCCCGTAGCGATTCAGAAAATCGTGAAATGACCCAGTTGGCACTTAGTGGCGTCCAACTTCTGTGTAGCTGGACAAGTGACGTAGTTGAAACAATCTCTTGGAAACTGCTCCATCCTACAGATCATCGGGCAAATAGAGATTGCCCAGAAGATGCAGAGGAGTATGAACGCGCAACAAAATATAATTATTCTTGTGCAGAGAAGGCAGCTCTTATTGAGGCAAAAAATTTTTTGTTTTTTTCTCAATTTATTTTTTTCGTGTGCTTTTAAAATGGTCTTATCAGAATTTCACTTGTAATGTCAATTAGATTTTTACTTGATGTTCTGATAAATTTTTAGACGATATCTATGATAAAAAGCGTCCAAATGATGCTCAGCAAGCTTGAGTCTGTTTTGAGCATAGCTATAAGAAGACATATCTATGCAGAACTGCAAGATTTTGTTCAAATAACTTTACGGGAGATGTTGCATAAGGCAGTGAAAAACAAAAAAGACCTTTTATCGAGGTGAGGTATAGGTTTCCGAGGTTTTATTGTGCGTCTCTCTTCTAAGCTAAATGTTTTTGTGAAACGTCTTCTTCAACATTGCATTATTTTCAGTATTATTCAGTCAATATGTGACACTTGTGTGGATAATTGTTCTGGTCATTTTGATTCGCATTCGTCTGATATTGGGAAATCAAAAAAGCATAAGCAGACGGCTGTACTGGGCTCTGTAAACGATATTCGAACTGCAAGGCGGTGTGTTGCTCCTAGTAGTACACAGGTTTTGCAGTTTTATTACCTGTTTTTGTCAAAAAACCATTTTTATGCTTATTTTTTGTTTCTCGAATATTTTTAACTAGTATGGATTTTAGCTATATATGGCTAGGACTATGACGGAGTCGCTAATATCTGAAAGAGGAGGTGGGAGGCGTTTGTTAAGGAAGGAAATCGAAGCAAAGCATATTGAGAAGCTGGCAAACTTTTTGAGAATGAGTTTTCATTGGCCTGCTCTACTGTGTTTCTCAGGTAGTTGTTTGCCTGTTCAACTTAAGTCACCGTTGTTTTTTAGATTGAATTGTCTGTTTTTCTTTAGAAACTTTGTCCGAATGCTGTGAACTTTCACAGTTATGGTTTCGGGAATTTTATCTTGAAATGAGCATGGGAAGAAGGATACAATTTCCGATTGACATGTCTATACCATGGATACTGACGGATTACATTTTAACAAGTCAAGATCCTAGATTAATCGAGTCAGCTGTTCAAAGCCTTTTTTATCTTTTCTCACGGTTTTCCTTTTTTATATTCGTATTTTTTTAGATGTATATTTTATCAGCTGGATCTTTACAACGATGCCGCAAACTATTCTTTAACAAGATTTCGGAAACAGTTTCTTTATGACGAAGTCGAGGCAGAGGTCAATTTATGCTTCGACCAACTAGTTTTCAAGTTAAGCGACTCTGTGTTCACTTACTTCAAACAGCTCGCATCGAGGTAACTTTCAATTTCTAATTTTTTTCATCTTTGTTTTTAATCAAATTTTTGAAGATTTGTTGTTCTCTTTTCTTGACTACGCTAGTCTGTGAGACCTTCCTTACAGCATGCTGCTGGACAAACGATTCAAAAGCGATTGCCAGAGTTTGGGATTCACTATTAGAATGCCGCCTTGTTTTCGCTATGAAACCTTACTGAAGCAAAGGCATTTACAGGTTGAAGCATTGTTTGAATTTTGAAATTTTTTGCGGACTTCTGTCTTGTAGAACTTGGGTTTTTTTGAATTAAGGAATAATGTAGAACTCTACTTTCCTAGCTGTGATTTCCACTTTGTTCTAGTTGGTTCGTAATTTAATTTAATTTAGTGTTTTGCAACAGTTTGCTGTTTTAATTTTTTAAAGAGCAACTATTTTAGATTTTGGGGAGATCAATTGATCTTAATCGTCTAGTCAGCCAGCGCATTAACGTTGCTCTCATCAGAGCACTTGACGTTGCAATTTCAAAATTTGAAGCGGAACCTCTTGCATCTGTTGTGGTAAATCACCAGTTTTATTTCTTGAAGCTTGATGTATGAGGTTTCAGGAAACTTAGTTTAATTTTTTTCAGTGTTTGTTTTAGGTATTAGACAGTTTACTGGAGGAAAATCGTTTGTGCCACAGGTTGATGCGAGAGCATCTTGGTTCAATTTCAGATTTTCATGATTTGTTTCTTGAAGCAAATCATAATGTATCAGCTCCTTATGGGAGGATTACAATCCATATTTTCTGCGAATTGGACTTAGACGTTATGCCAAATTTCTGTTACAATGGTTCGACACACAGGTTCTTCTTAACAGTTTTCAATTCCGGTTTAATTTCAGTTACAGACTTTCTAGATAAGTGTTTGTTATTAAGTAATTTTTTTAAGCGTAGATCTTTATGCTTTATTAGCAGATTCGTAATAGATCGGCTGTTGTAAGGGCTTGTATGTTTTGAGCACTTTGAAGGTAACAGTTTTGTTATTTATTTGGTCCTGTGAATTTTGCAGGTTTGTTCCTTCAAGGCATATGACTCAGGAGTTAACAAAACGGGAAAAGTATCCTAATGCGGCATTGCAGTACTTCTGGGGGTCAAAGGTAAATTTGGCATCGAAATAAAACGTTTTGAAACTATCTTCTGAATAAATTTTAATGAACTTCTTTCAATTTCTTTATTTTCGCTACGTCTGAAAGATATTTTTCTGTGACAGAACAAAATAAAAGAAGACCCAAGTTTGAAAGTAATATTTTTCAATTTTAAGGACCATTTTTATTCGGTTTTTAAGATTACTATGTGACCATTGCTGTTTCCCTTTAGTAGTAATGACTTTATGTTTTGGTTTTGCTCTTTATTTTATTTTATTTATTTTATTTTTTTGATTTTTTATTGTATTTTTCATCGTTACAGTCACTGGGCGCAGCTTTTGAGACCCTTTTCAAGATGTATTCTGGATTCATTGGTATGCCTCATTTAAAGTAGGTTTTTTTAACGAAATTCTTCCAACGTATTTAAAGAATATTTGTGTTTTTTATTTAAGTCAATGTCAAATTTTAGAGCAATGGCAAGGTTGCTTGGATACCAAGGAATTGCAGCAATTTTGGAAGAATTAATCAAAATTGCTCAAGAACTGGTACTTTTGAGGGTTTTATGCTTATAATGCCATTTTTGATTGAGAGGATTTTGTTTTTTGATGAAAAAAATGAGCTTATTTGGCGCAGTAATTTTTCTAGTGTGCTGTTAATAAGCTTGTAGGCTTCAATTATTTTTAGATAAACGGGTCTCTGCGCGGTCATGTTAGAGCAATCTTCAATTCAATGCCAAAAATATGCAAACTGCCGAGATATGATTATGGTTCTCCAGGTATTTTCTTTGTTCTTCTTATTTTTTTCCATAAGATAGCGTACATTATCTTCTTTCATTAGCTTTGACTTTTGAACATATGCAGGAGTTTTGGAATATTACCTTGCGCATCTTGCTAATGTGGGCAAGTATCCGGATCTAAAGAAAGAAATGTGTCAGGTAACTGTTCCTAAATAACACAATATTTCTTTTACTTCTGTTTTTATCTATTTTATTTTATTTTTATCTTTTTAATGAAAAACTCAAAATGTTTCTGTCTATTATTCTTTTGAACATATAGTTGCTAATTCTTTTTTCTTCAACTGCATTGTGAACTTTGAAGCAGCGTAGTTTTTGTTGTGTGCCAAATGAGCAAAATAAAGTTTTTTGAAGCATGTTTCTTTTTAGACCAGAAGCTAGTAATGAGGACTATTGTTTTCTTGCTTTTTGAGTATTTTACAATAACAATTTTATGTAGTTGGTAAATGGCTTTTAAGGTCCTCAGGAAAATTGGAAATATTATTGTTTTTTGCTTGCAATTGGAATTGGCAATGTCTCAGGAAGAAATCGTCGATTTATTAACTGCAGCGCCCTTCACAAATGTGATTCCTCGCCCGCCAGGAAAAAGTTGCTTTTTTTTCTAATTTTACATTTGCTTTTCTTTTAGCTTTTGAAATGTATTGATAGATTTTTAGAAGCAGAGGAAGAGATAAAAATTAAAAAGTTGGAGCAGAAATATTCGCGTATCCAAATTGCTTCGGTCGTTGCACAAATTGGAGATCTCAAGGTACTTTTCATCTTCTTACACGTCCATGAATCTTAAACCAAAGAATTTCGAAATATTTTTCGGTTTGCAACTATAAGCTTTTTAGCAAAGTGCAATTGCTAGAGAAGGGGAGCTTTTAACTAAGGAACGGCTGTGTTGCGGCCTTAATATCTTTCAAATGTTCTTGTCGAAGATTAGGGAAATTCTTTCTGCGGATACGCTGTGGACTGGTGGATTTCCGACGAATGGGGTTTGTAGTGATAATAATGCCTTTAAAATATATATTTTTAGTAATCTTCTTTTTACAGTGTCCTATAGTCGTT